AACAGACTTCCTAGCTGAAAAAAGTATTGTTATTAGGCTAGATTCAATTCTGATTTTTTGAATTTAGGAGTCGTAAAACAGACATTATGAATTCCCAATTTTCATTTTTGTGTTGTTCATATTGAAATCAATGTGGATTAATTTAATCATTAGAGCGATGTACCAAGCAATTGTTTTCACATTCCATAAAGTTCTCAATACAAATCATAAAAAGATCAACTACTGAACCTTAAAAGGGATTGAAAGAAATTTTGTAGTAAAGAAACCAACTAAAAGAAGTTTTGTGTTGAGAAGAGTAAACGGAATTCTTTTAGGCCTCTTCTCCACTGTTATAGACAGCCCCTTGCTTCTTTGTCATACTTTTTTTTAAACAGGATGTTTGACTTATCTATAAAGCTTTAAAACGAAGCCTTCATAAAAAGAACACTTTGTACTGTGAATTTGTATTGGGGACTCAAAAAGAAATTCCCAGAACCAAGTATGAAATAAATGATTTTTTTAAACTAGAGGTACAAAAAAGTTATTTAAGAAATTAGAATAGAAGTAAATGTATTTAATGAAAAACCTCACCATGTGAGGCAATGACATTAGAATTAATCAGAATAATCAAGTTAAAGGCCAGACTTATATGAAGCATTTCACAAAACATGTATTCTCCAAAGTGCAAAATATGTCCCATGGCGCAGGTAGTATTCTAATCCTTTCTTGGAAAAGGATAAATCAGTGAGTAAAGATAACCAACCTAAAGCACATATTAAATTAACAAAATTGAATTAATAACTATGAGAGAATAAATCATCCTCATTAATCTATGATGATAACTTTCAAAATGAGACCCTTCAATAATCATTGATGAAATATTTGCCTGAGTAGTCAATGACTCTGCGGAAATGCCTACGGACAACTAATAATCTGTTTCTCTCTACTGGGGATTCATTTCATATGGGGACTCATTGACATAGCAGTAACTAAGATGATTAATTAACTATATTAGTTGTTGAAGAATAGTTGAGTGGCACCATTTCATTTGATTACTTCAAAGAGAGGAAAACACTATTTGTGGAAGAGATGTTTACAAAAAGGCAATGAAACATAACTCCCTTAGGCTAGATTCAATTCTGATTTTGTGAACAATGAATGTGAAAATCGTAAGCATGTACAAAAAAGTCATATATCATATCCAAAAAATGTTGAATTCAAAAACATAGTACGTAGTAGTTAGTAAGCCAACCGTGTATAACTAAACTAAAAAAACTAAAACTCTAGTGTAGTATAATCAAATCCAGTTATTTAACCAACTTGCATATCATCTAAGCTAAATTAGGATGCTTATTGGTCGGTGTAAGTAGATAATGTATTAAAAAGGCAATGAAACATAACATACCTTATAAAAAACTTAACAATTATATTCCTGGCTTTGCAAAAACCATAGAAGAAGCATAATCTAAGGTGGTATAAATGGTTTTTTGGTAATTTGTTTGATGATGTGTAGAAGGTCAAAGAAGAAGCTATGTATGTATGTAGAGTTTTTTTGGTATATATATATATATATATATATATATATATATATATATATATATATATATATATACTTTTCAAGTATATATATATATAGGGAGCTACCGAGCAATATGAGATACTTTTCAAGCTTAAACAAGAGAAAACATACTAAAATAGCCAATGCCATATACTTAAAAGAAGGTGATACAAATACTCAATTTTTCCATTCACGTAGATGTTGAAGAAAAAGAAGAAGACATCAAATTAATACTCCTTACGTCCTAAAAAGCAAGGTTTGACAAATTGACTTTTCTCACTCAATGATAATCAACTTTGACCAATGATACTTTGAATATGAAATTATTTTGAATACAAATTTTATATTAAAATGTTCCTTATTCAAAACACTCCTATAAAAGTATCGAACTTATAAATTATATACATATATAATAATTAAAATTATTGTCCAAAACTCTGCCACCATTAATAAAGAAAAGTCAATATGTCAGATCTTTTTGGGACGGAGGTAGGATGATTTAAAAGGGTGATAGGAGTTGGAGTGCCTACCAGTTATGAGGAGATTGGTTTTGAAGTAGTTGTTTTTTTATCCTCATTTTTTCAGCAATCCTGAAAAAATGATAGGGTATCTCGAGAAGTTCTTTGGTGGCCCTTAACTAGAAAAGGCATATCACGCAAGTATATCAGCATTATCATGGATGTGTATGAGAATTGTTCTACAAGTGTCTGTACCAGTGTAGGGAGGACTGAAGAGTTCTCTATTATTATCGGAGTGCACCAAGGATTGACTCTAAGCTCTTTCTTATTTTCCATAGTCATGGATGAACTTACAAAGTCAATTCAAGACGATATACCGTGGTGCATGATGTTTGCCGACGATATTGTATTGATTGATGAGACGCAATCAGGTATTATAGCAAAGTTGGAAGTATGATGACAAACATTGGAGAACAAGGGTTTTAGACTAATTCGGACAAGACATAGTACATGTAGTGCAAGTTTGGTGGAGGTAGAAGCAGTGGTAATAGCGGAATTACTCTAGATGGTAAAGAGATACCGGTCAACGATATGTTCCGTTACTTAGGCCCCATAATTCAGAAAGACGGCGAGTTAGATGGAGATGTATCCCATAGAATCAGAACAGGGTGGATGAAGTGGAAGAGTGCGTCAAAATTTCTATGCGATCGAGATATGCCGACTAGACTGAATGGTAAATTTTACATGACAACAATTAGGCATGCACTATTGTATGACGTAGAGTGTTGGGCGATGAAACAATGTCACATTCAAAAGATGAGTGTGGCAGACATGTGCATGTTGCTTTGGATGTGTGGGCATGTTAGGAAGGACCGCGTGAGGAATGAGACAATCAGACAAAGGGTGGGAGTAGCACCTATTGAAAACAAGATGCGGGAGTCGCGCCTACGGTGGTTTGGTCATGTGCGTAGAAGACCGAGTGATGCACCTGTCAGACGAGTTGAGATATGTGGAGAAGAGGCAGGGAAGAGATGGAGAGGAAGGCCCAAGCAAACATGTGTTAGGGGAGTCCGAAGTGATCTCGTATCATATTTTCCCCTCATCTTTTTTCCCTTTTTTTTATCCTTATATATAAACATTATTTGTATCCTTTTTATTTTATCATTTCTATGTATATTCATCTCTTTTTATATTATCTTTTTACAATAGTTTATCTTTTTTATCTTTATTTTTTTTTCCTTTTGGTGGTGATATCATGTATTGATTCATGTTAGCCGACCCCAGTATCTTTTGGGACTAAGGCTTGGATGTTGTTGTTGTATTTTTTTAGCAAGCCACGACCCTTATCTATGGTCATTCATTGAAGAATATATCAATTACAAGGCCGGTAATTGATGAGGAGAATTTCATGTTAATTAAGATATTTAAAAAAGAGAAGATCGAAGTAGCAATTTGGTTGTTCAATTTAAACTATGCACCTAACTCTTCCGGTTTTGCAAGTCTCTTTTCAGAATTTGTTGAACCTTTTTAACAGAGATGTGGTCTCTTGATAGCATGAATTCTTCTTAGATGCCTATCTCCACGAGTGTTAGTGTATTTATTGTCCTGATTTCAAAGATAAAAAAATCTCAATCAGTTCCATTAGGGACATTAGACTTATATGTCCCTCCACATTCGTAAAGGAGGTCAATACAAGGGTAATGATCAATAAACTTTCAGTTATGCTCCACAAACTCATTTCAATAGAGTAAAAGATTTGTGATGGGGAGTGGCACTAAAAACATGTATTGAATATGTGAGTCGGATAAAAAGGTGAGGGTATAATGTTGTTTCAAGTTACATACTACATATATGACTAAAACTTTTGATAGTGTCACCTGTAATAATAAGACCATAATAATGACATGATTTGACTTCTCAACCAGATTCAAGCCACCTACGCGATTAATACCGTCTATGATAGTTTTTTTATTTAACTTTACAAATCATTTGTGTATTTTGCAATTTTTTTGTTACTTTTTAATTTCAAAATAGTTTTACACATAATTTTCATTTTTATTTTCTCAATTTTTTGTTTTTCATTTAAACTTTTTTAATTTATTCATCTTTTGACATTTTACTATTTTTATTTATAGATGTTGTCAATTTTTTTGATAAATATTTAAAAGGTAAGTTGTTATATATAGAAGGAAGGAACCCAAATAAAAGAGGTACATTGATTATTTTGGAAAATAAGTGTATTTATATGATTTTTTGTTTATAGATTTAAACAGTGTTTTGACAAAAATGGATGATTTATTTGACTATTTTCACGTTATTTACGAGACCATATAATTTGAATCTTAAATAATCAAAGTGCAATAAAAATAAAGATTAAAATTGTTTCCAATTGTTTATACAAAAAGAACTCACCCCCAATTGTTACGTGTTTCTATACAGAAATTTCCCCATTATTAGAAAGATAGAAAAGATATATTGGAGAAATTAAAATTTAAAATATTTAAAAAATGTAATTATAAGTTATCATGAATAATTTTTAATATATTTAAGATATTTATTCTAAAATATCATTAACAGAGAGTTTATGAATAAAAATGTAAATATAAGTTATTATGAGTAATTTTTATAGTCACTAATAATGTAAAATTTGAACATAATTGGTCATTAAAGTTATTTTTACTATACTTTCTCCATATATAGTATATGTCCGTTAAATGTCTTTGAATTTACCTCTTCTCGAAAGTGTCACGGTGATATCATTGAATCACAAATGTTTCACATTAAAGTTATTAGGACACATTTTTATCCACTATTTTTATTAGGACATATTTTAGTTATATGTTTGGAATTCCTCCAATTTCAATATTTAAGTTATTTTACTTTTTTTTGAAAGTAGGCTATTTTTACTGTTGAAAACGGGAAAAAGTATTTACGTAACGAAGTGTTGTTCAAGATTCGAGACTATGAATAGACGGTTGAGATAGATTTCTTCCTACAATGTTAATTGCGTGGTCAGGTGAAAATCTTGATCCTAGTCCAAGACCATGACACATATTCAGTTAATCATAATGAACTCCTTGAAAGGAACAGTTCTCTGTTCTGCAGCCGAGAGAGATATTTAATCTAATCTGAAACTTCCCTAATAATTTACCATCATAATTACTCCGTATAAAATTATTACCCGAGTACTACTCGTATTAGATCAGCATGATTAACACACCATTAAATTCAACTCCAAGTTCAACCCTTTCTTTTCTTCTCTTTTAAGGATCTAAATTTATTACAGTAGATCACTATCTTCCATTACCCAAGATTGAAGCTTCTCATCTGAATCGATTTCCAATATATATCAGCGCAAAAGACCCATTAAACTTATTTACCCCCGATAAAGGCCTCAACTTTACGCTTGATCACAAGTAGGGTTATTGTAAATGTGTGAAGATATCATCTTTAGTGTAGCTTTCTGAGATTTAACAGCTTTTTTCCTCAGTGGAAGGTTTTATTTGTTTGGGGAAAAGTGGGATTCAAGATGATGGGAAAGGTAGGGATTTTAGTATGTATATGGTTTCTTGTTTGTGGGTCTTGTTTGGGTAGATTTGTGGTGGAGAAGAACAGTTTGAGGGTGACGTCCCCAGTCTCCATCAAAGATGTGTATGAGTGTGCGATTGGGAATTTTGGTGTTCCACAGTATGGAGGTACCATGACGGGCGTTGTGATGCACCCAAATGCTAACCAAAAGGCCTGTGGAAGCTTCGATGATGTCCATGTTTCCTTTAAATCCAAGCCTGGTAGCATGCCCGTTTTTGTTCTTGTGGATCGTGGAGGTATAATTCCAAACCGCTCATCTTCTTATAATTTTCCGGATTGATTTAGATAATATGTGTGTTTATTTATTTGTTGTCTCAAAACAATTGTGGCAAATAGTGTAGGTCCTCCCTATGAGAGGTTACCTTTAGAACCTGAAGTCTTAATATTGAATCAAATCCATTGTTAGACATAGCTTGTATGGAAGGTGTTTCAGTCAAATGTAGGGCGGGCTTGGTATACTCCTATCAGGACACATAGAACCTAAAGTCTTACTAGTATTTTCGTCATTGTTAGTCATAGGCTCATAGCTAGTATGGAAGATGTATGCATCTCATTCTTCTTCAATGTTACTTTTGTCTCTAATTTTTTATATGTTCTGGGCCCCTGGCAGATTGCTACTTTACTGTAAAGGCATGGAATGCTCAGAAATCTGGAGCTGCGGCTATTTTAGTTGCCGATGATAGGACAGAGCCTTTGATCACCATGGACACCCCAGAGGAAGAACACTCACTGGCAGATTATCTGCAGAATATAACCATCCCTTCAGCACTTATTAGTAAGGAGCTCGGGGATAAAATCAAGAAGGAGCTTTCAAAAGGAGAGATGGTAGTCATCAACCTTGATTGGAGGGAGGCTCTTCCGCATCCAGATGAACGAGTTGAGTATGAATTCTGGACAAACAGTAATGACGAGTGTGGGCCCAAGTGTGTGAGTCAAATAGAGTTTGTCAAAAGTTTCAAAGGTGTTGCACAGATTCTCGAGCAGAAAGGGTATACACAATTTACCCCACGGTACATTACTTGGTACTGCCCGGAGGCTTTTACTTTGAGCAAACAGTGCAAGTCTCAGTGCATCAACCATGGGAGATACTGTGCTCCGGACCCCGAACAAGACTTCACTCGAGGGTATGATGGGAAAGATGTTGTTTTGCAGAACTTGCACCAAATTTGTTTCTTCAGGGTGGCAAATGAAAGTGGGAAGCCTTGGCTTTGGTGGGACTATGTCACAGATTTTTCAATCCGCTGCCCGATGAAAGATAAGAAATACACAAAAGACTGTGCAGATCAAGTGATCCAAACACTTGGTAGGTTCAAGCCAGTTTTTTAATTCCTCGCTGTATTTCATACGTTTTCCCTCTGGTATGTTTTTGTAGGGTTTTCCTATAGTATTACTAAAATAGAAGTATGTGACAAAAGTATGACTACATGGCAACTGCAAAAATATCATCAGTCATTGCAGTGTAAAGTAAAATATCCATGTAATCACTTGATCACAGTAAAAAATGTAACTACATGGTCACGCGTGTCATTGTGATCTGTGAAAACACCACCAGAATAAATCGAACATCACAATGGTCACCTCACTGTAAAAAGACCATTATTGTCTCTGTGTAGGAAAAGTCACATTTTGTCTAGTATTTTTTATTTAGCTGTATATTTGTCACTGTTTCATGTGATAATTTTTACAGTTCTATTTCTGACTGTTCTGTTAATAGAGACCTGAAATATTACTATTAGAAATAATGACAGAATTATCACTAGAATAAAATAGTGGACAAATATATGATTGACTATAGTGACCATGGCGATCTTATATTTTAGACTGCAGTGACTATGCTAGGAATTTCACAGTGACAATAGTAACCACCTAGTCATATTTCTGTCTATAAGTTATATCTTAAAAATAAAATATGGAAAAATCCTTAGTACTATTGGCTTAGTGGATTAATGTGTCCATATGGAAGAGCTCTCTTTTCCCATCACTTCTGTGTTGTACGTTTTGACCGTTAATTGTCTGAAACCATGAATACTCTTCTAGTATGTCCACTTAAAGCCCCCCTCCCCGGATTTCGGGATCACGTCTAACTTCTGCTTGTTTATTGGATGAGTGGATGCAGGCATTGATGTTAAAAAGGTTGACAAGTGTGTAGGGGATCCTGAAGCAGATGTGGAGAACCCGGTTCTTAAGGTTGAACAAGAAGCGCAGGTATATAATTGTGAAGTTGAATGAGTCTGCTACACCTTATTTCTGTCATCTTTGATGCAGCTTATAAATTGTTTTTTGCATTCCATGGGGGTGCTAAATTCAGATAGGAAAAGGTGCCCGTGGAGATGTGACTATATTGCCAACTCTAGTCGTAAACAATAGACAGTATAGAGGTACAAACTGCTAAAACAAATGGAAAATTTACCCGGCTTGTAAGTTATGTTTAAGAAATTGTGATATCTATCATCGACACTATTTACTGTAGGCAAGCTTGACAAGGGAGCAGTTCTAAAGGCTATTTGCTCAGGATTTGAGGAGACAACGGAGCCCACAATTTGCTTAGCTGATGGTGATCGTTCTTTACTCTCTTTACTTTGTCTCGTTAATTGACAGTTGACACTCACACCAAAGCTATCTTACTGTTACGTCTGTTATGGAATCTATCTTACTGTGCTGATATCTTCAACCAGATATTGTTGTAATTTCCAAAAGAGGTTATGATATCTTTTGAGAATGCATGCTAATTCGTTATTTAGTTTGTCCTAGTCACTACCTCTTATAGATATGTTAAATCCCGGAAAATTCTGTGCAAAGGAAATAGAAATGCTAAGGAAAGTTTATCTTTGTGTTTGGTTTTACCTTGGAATTTGCAAAGGAAAGTAGTATATGATTAAGTGTTTTTAAAATTTTACATACGTTTAGAATCCAGTCTTAATATTATGCGTAGTAATAAAGTAATATGAGTTCAAATAACAATAAAAAGTATATATCGATTTTGATCTTATCTTTTATTGACCCCCAAATTTTCTATAGTTCCGACTTCCTTTCTATCCCCCCCTATTTTTCCCTAAACAATTTATACTTCCACCACTATCAAAGTTTCAAGAAGTTAGCATGTTTTGATTTTTCGTATCCTTGTTCATGTGACAAGAATTTGCAACATCATATAACCAAAATTGGTGATACTTTCATTTATCAAATGCAAATCTGCACATTTATTTCAAAGTATCATATGAATAATGTTGATGAATATGTTCATCTCTGAAGTCTATACTCAATATATGTGCATACTGCATATATGAAAATACCTATAAACTATCCATGCTCTTGTACTTTAGTCAATCAGAATGTTCTATATTTCATCCTTTCATGGAATTGTTTTGATCAGCTAATATTCTCAAGTTGTTGCATTGCTTGCCTTGCAGATATACAAACAAATGAGTGTTTGCAGAACAACGGTGGGTGCTGGCAGGATAAGTCTTCTAATATTACTGCATGCAGGGTACTCCTCTAGGCTCTAGCAGTTGATGAATGAATAATTGAGTGCTTTTCTTTTGATTGAGGAACTTCTAACCGCCAAACTGTTCTTTTATTCTTTATACTCTGTTGTAGGACACTTTCCGAGGGAGGGTATGCCAGTGCCCCATTGTGCAAGGAGTGCAATTCGTTGGTGATGGTTATACTCACTGTGAAGGTAAAATGCTTATACATATTGTTGTTTATCATTAGTATTATGGCTTGAAGTTACATCCTAAAAAGTTAACCTCATGGGGGGAAGTCCATGAGTATATGTTGTTTCTAAGCATGCTATCCTAAATACTTGGCACCAAACAAACAAACAAACTAGTGAACCACAATCGGACTCGAAAGGGATGAAAATAAACTTGAATGGCTTGAATAGTTTGTGTTCTCAACTTTTATACAAGGATACAAACGTAAATCCCTTGAGTTAAGGAAAGAACCAGCAAGATAATTACAAATGATATATTCTCTCATATCCTAATTAAGAATAGAATACATCCTAATTAATAACAAATCTCATCCACTTGCAATATATTATTACACACCTGTTGTGTTTCACTCTGTACTGTCACACATTATCACTTTTCTGATTTATCAACGGGTTTGAAGCATCTGGAGCATTGCGATGTGGAATTAATAATGGAGGTTGCTGGAAGCAAACAAAGGGTGGACGCACATTTTCTGCTTGCATTGTTAGTGGCTCTCTTTCCCGCTGTATTTTTCCTCTTCTCTTTTCACCGGCTTCGGCTTAGACTTGCATACCTGTAAATGGTTTCTGAAGGGAACTTGTACTCAAGTTGATTCCTTTGGAATTATTGGTTATTTTCTGTTTATTTTATTATATTATTTTCAGGATGACAAAACAAGTGGTTGCAAATGTCCTCCTGGTTTCAAAGGTGATGGGATCAACAGTTGTGAAGGTACAAATTTAGGATTGGACAAAGCAACATTGATGTTTATGATAGAGTTCGAAATGGTTACACGAAAGTAAAGTAGAAAATTATGAGTTAATAAGATTATTCTTGGTTTAATTAGAGAATGTTATTAACTCATAATTATGGGAGAATGTTATTAACTCATATTATGGGAGTTAATAGAGTTACACGAAAGTAACTCTAATGGTTATTAACTCTATGTTATTAACTCATATTAAAATCAATCCACAAGTGTTATTAACCCTTGAATGTAACCAAGAAATGGTTACACGAAAGTAAAGTAGAAAAATTTGGGAGCAGCCTCTTGTCAAAATGACAAGGGAAGGCTTGCCCCTTATACGCCCTTGTGGTGGGACCGTGGGACCCTTCCCCGGATCCTCTCCTTGCAAGGATGCCAATGTGAGCTGCCCCATTTTTTATCCTAATTGTATTCCACTAACTTTTCACTATTGCACCTTGTTCTTTCATGCGTCCCTTCTCTTATTCACTCTTTGTGGGACCTGTGTTACTTTTTTTCTTTAAAAGGTTTAAAATGTAAAACAACTGTGTATTCTGTTTTCTTAAAAGTCATGTCAAACCCAAATATATCTCACATTATGGGACTGGTGGGATTATAATTGAACACAATGTTTCACAATCTAAATCTTGGAAATGTTCAGATGTTGATGAATGCAAAGAGAAACTGGCTTGCCAATGTCCGGAGTGCAAATGTAAGAACACATGGGGCAGTTATGAATGCAGTTGCCGAGGTGATCTGTTATACATGCATGAACACGACACATGCATAGGTAATTATGAAAAAAAGAAAGAGTGTTACTTTGTGGATTATACTTTAAGGAAATTCTGTTGTTCTTACTTGTTAGGAGACTAGTTAAGTGAATCTTCGTGTTCAATGCCTCAGTGGCATCCTGCCAAGGGTCTATATATTTGGGGTTGAAATGGTGGCCTCTTCTTAATTTTTCCCCAATTCTTGGTTTTTGGCAAGACACTTGTAATCATCCGATTACTCTTAAACTTTGTAGGGCCCTTAAACTCCCTGGAGTAATAATTCCACCTTCATTTATTCAATTAGAGTAGTTTTGGAATAATCTTACCATTTCCCAAAACATTCTCTAACTCTCTCCTAGACATAGTAATTATCCTTTTTTGTTGATAGGCTTTTCCATGTCATGCTTATGCCAATTTGTTGCTATTCTATTTTTCAAATGCAGCTGGTAAAGATGTAAAAACAGGTTTCACCTGGGGCACTTTCTGGGTAATTGTCCTTGCATTGGCTGCAGTTGGAGTTTCGGGATATGCAGTTTACAAATATCGGATTCGGGTAATTCCCTTAACTCTCACTTGTATAATTCAGTGTGTCAATTCCTTGTCAACTTGAATTGTATTGTCAATGAATACGGAGTGTCATGTTTTCTCAAGCTGGATACGAACAAAGAGAATACACACAAAGATAAATGGGTTTTCAATATGTTAATCTCTTGATAAGAACAGAGATGCTAAAAACAGTAAAAAGATCTGTCAAACCCTCCTACACTCTGAAGCCACCAGACTAGCTTCGCCTTATGTCAACATAAATTGGGAGCAGATTGTTAAGTCATTCAATCCACATATAAGGCATTGGCCTTAAAGTATTTGTGCTTGCTCAAGTTGACCTTTTAGAATAAAACATCAAATCTGAATACTATATTAGAGCCAATTTAACTCAAAAGCTAGCAATTAAACTCAAGTCTTAAAGGAGCAATCTTTCCAACTAAGACTAAAAAAAGATTTTAATAAACACAAAATCAACCCACCATTTTAAGAGTGGTTGGTCCAACAACCCACCATTTTAAGAGTGGTTGGTCCAACAAACCACCATTTTACAGGCATGTTAAGCCATCTGACAATCTCAAACAGGTAAAATGCAAAAGTACAAATGTCACTTGGCTACTCTTATTAGGTTGTCATGTTAGAATGTAACCTCAAATCTTAAAATAAACAATGGGCCATCCTCAGCAGTAGTTCTTTTTCCATTTGCTAATCATGATTGTGGAATTTACAAACTTGCAGAGATACATGGATTCTGAGATCCGTGCTATAATGGCTCAGTACATGCCTCTAGATAACAATGGTGAATTGCCTAACCAAACTTCTCATGGGAATGTATGATTGTCAAGCTCTCTTCCATCAAAGTTCAAAGCCGAGGAAACATTGTAAATTTGCAGTTACTTGACGTGATATGTTTTCCCAGTGCCACTAGCAGCCTTGTGCACGCGGACTCTCGTATTCATTAGCAGAAACGAGAAACGAAATTTTATTTGTATTCGTAGGATACTTAGGATGTGCAATAAAGTCCTTGTGGCATGGGAAATGTTAGCCAAATAGTTTTTTGCATCATGTTTTTTTAACTTCTTGGCAAGCGGGATTTGATGTGCTTCAAGTGGGCGATCTCTACCTAGGGTGGACACGAACCGGTCCTACTTTTGAGGAATTAGAACCGGTTTGTGGTACCGGCTCATGAATACAACCGGGTCGGTTTGTTCTTGTGGCAAAAAGTCAGCCTCAGTCCACAACCAGGGCTGGGTCTACGACTCTACCCCAGTTCTACCCGCATGGTGACATTCTAACCTAACAAAGTTTAAAATGTAGATCCTCAATACAATTGGAAATAAACGTATTTTCATTTTTCAACAAAAACAAGTTCTAGGGCTTACAGACGTAATATTACAATTTTGAGTTTAGGGGCAGTTTGCAGTCAGGTTACCAGGTAACATAAAGAATCATTAATGTAAACATAAAGATGCAAGTCATGCAACATAAAAATATTTTTTTAGTTTTTAGGTTTTTATAGATTTAAGGTACACATTAAATTAATATCATAATTCAAGTTCTATGAAGAATCAAGAGCACTAAACTGACTAAAGTAATTGTAAAAAGCAGAAGGATTTTATTTCTGAAGTTTTTTTATTTCCGTCTCACTAACAAATTAACAATGGGACAAGAGGAAATGATACGCAAATAAATAAAAAGTTTATGTGATTGATATTGAATTAATAAAGTAAGAATAAAGTAAAAATGATTTAGAGTCGCACAAATTTTATCAAATTTGATATAGGACAATAGAACGAATTGAGAAAAGGTAAAAATGGGCAATCTTACTAGAATGGAGGGTGTAATTATTATATCAAGTAATTATATTAATGTTTAATTCTATTTATCGAAATAAAACACATGGTTCTATTTTTTTTTAAATTAATATTTTCAGTCCTAGTATGAGCATTTTTTTCAGATAGAGTTAGGTTTTTCAATAAAAATTACCAAAACAATACTAAACATATGATATATCTTGAAATAGGATCCATCACTTTATGTTCTCGAAATGTCTCTAGTGAACTAAATCCTTTCAACATTTAAAAAAGATATAGTTCTGCATTTGAAAATCTTTTGAAACTACTGATGCTTGGATGTTACTGTTCATTTCATTTTCATTTACCCCAGTGCCGCAAAGGCTTCCACCTATGGTGGGGTAAGGGAGGGTCGGATGTACGCAGCCTTACCTCTGTACTAAAGCACAGAGAGACTGTTTCCGAATGACCCATAGTGAAAATCCCGTCCAAAATTGCATGGACTGACTGCTGCTTCATAACAAAGAAGCGCAGACAGTTAAGTGAGCTATTTTGCTTTATTCCATCATAATCTCAAGCCAAAAAATAATGAATTTGTGGCTCCATTGCAAATGCCAAATGATGGAAATTGGATGTTACTGTTGTATTAAGTATTTAGGTAGAGGAATTTTATTGGTGTGTTTGTTTCTAGAATGACATTGCAATATTATTTTGTTAGTTTTTAAAACTATCATTATTTTCAAAATATCATTATGTGTTACATTGTTTTTTGAAAGAATTATGTGTTACATTGTTCTGCTATAAAAATAACAATAATATGTCACTCTTATTTTATTTGTCCACAGAACCCCAAATAACACAACCAATCGTGTTTGAATTCTGCCATTCGAAAAGAAAAAGCTAAGTAGTCTAAAACTTAAAAAGTCTATTCTTAAAGTCAACAATGGTCATTAAAATCTTTTACTCGTTCTCCCACGGGACTTTACCAACTTTTCTTTTATGTTTGTTTCAAAAACTTTGTCACTTTTCTTTTTAAGTAATGAATTTGTGGCTCTATTTTTTTCTCTCTCCTCTGAACAAATTCAACTACACAGTTTTTATTATTCTAATTTCACACCCAACATCAACTTGGTAAAGTTTAATAGCCTAATATTAAATTAGGAATAATTGTAATTTAGACAACTCTCTTATATTATAAATATATCTGTTAGGGCTCCTATTTGGAGTATCCTTTCCCATTATCTCACACGGTATCAAGAGTTGGTTTACTTGTTTGTCTCTCCCTACAAACCCTACCGCCTCCGCAATGCATACGGACAACACCATTGCTGCTATGCACACGACGGAACCACCATCGTCATCTCCCACGTCGGCATCTACCATCGACGTAGTCTCGACCAGCACAACGCTGACTAATACTTCCTCCTCCGTCACAACGGTGCAGACCACCAGAGCAGTTGCAGTCTTCAGTCTTCACGACGGCTCCGCTGCTCCATCACTCTCTGTTCCAACAGTCCTCTCAGCCGCACGTCACCGGAGGGATCATCGCCTACTCTTTGTTTGATGCACTGCCACACACGTTCCCATGGAAGGCCACAGGTCTGCCGTTGACGCTGATGACTGTAACTCCCCTACTCCATGGTTCTCCGGTTCCAGCTTCTTCAGATCAACATTCTCCTGCAATTTCTCGGCCGACTGATCACGTTCTTTTTCAGTTGCCTATGGAAGCAGTCGCGCAGTCACTCTCTCTGATGTCCAATGTCAGTCAAATTGTTACCACAAAACGCATGGTTCTGGAAGATTATCTCACCTGACGCACTCAGTTTGAATCACTCCTGGTATCCCAAGGGTTGTTTCATTTTGTTGCTGGTTCCAATCAGGTACCTCCCATGTACACATATGATTTTAATAATCTTAAAATCATTAATACTTATTATTATCACTGGCTACAGGTTGATCAAACAATTCGTTCATGGTTATTTGTCACGCTTTCTCGAGATCTATTAATTGATGTACAAGATGTCAAACATTCTTTTGGGATCTGGAAACGAATGCAAACTAAGTGTATGCCTATTAGTCTAGCCAGATGTATGGACTTCAAGCGTCTGTTGTCCCACATTAAAAAGATCGAAAATCAGTCCATGGAAAATTACTTGAGGGAAATAAAAATTTAGCTGGTGCTCTTGCTGCAATTAACTCTCATATGATCCACAAAGAATTACATTAGTTTATCCTTATGGGTTTGGGACCAAAGTATGAGTCCACAGTCGGGACTATTTCCCTCTTGGCCTCTTCCTTGAGAACTTCTACCTCACATTCTTCATCTGAGGCTTTTAAAGGCGGAGCAACGTGTTCTTTTCCTTCGTCGTCAGGAGACTGCTCCTGTTTATCAGGCGTTTGGAGCACAAACTGGAACTGCAGCACCACGTGGGTGTGGCGACCGAGGTAAAGGTCGGTTTTACCGGCAGGGGCATACCACTCACGGACAAGGGTATGGCCTGCAACCCGAGCAGCCTACACAATTGAGACCTACTAATGCAGGTGCTATAGGTAATTCTGTTTTTGCCACTGTAAATGCTAATGCTATATCTTTCTATCGTGCTAATGTTAATTCTATTTACCCCTACCCCGCCCGTAGTGTCCGATGTGGCAGTTAAAATCCTAACTTCTTCATGTAAACTAATTAAATTACAGGTCAAGTGTTAGAAATTTAAATATAAACAATTTTCATTAAACACACGTTTTTTTTAATTTAGAGTTGTTTTAAAACCTTTCTAGCAAACCCTGAAAAATAAGCATAAAAAACATAAATTTTGAAACAAGTAAATGAGCTATGATTAAGGATAGCAGTTAGGCATGGACCGGGCCCGGTTCGGGCCGGGCCTACTTGGCCGGGTAGTGGGCCGGTTCGGATCGGGCCCGGGCTTTTTTTTTTGCTTATATATTAAGTTACGATTAGTTGGACATAACAAAGTTAAAATATTTTTATTTGAAATATGTAGTACAATTGAAAATTGAGAAAAAATTAAAACATGAAATACACTTTAATAAATAAGAATCAATCGAAATTTCCACCATCTTCGATTGTTTCCTCCATAAAGTGGCGGGTGGGTTCGATGCTCATTTCTTGAGTTCTACGTTGGGCCTTCAACCAATCGTGGAAGCAAACAAGCGTCTCAAGAGAGTTTGTGCTCAATCTCGTTCTATAATCCGTTAGCACATTGCCGGTCACACTAAACTCTTGTTCCACAGCAAATGTTGATAACGACATTGCTAGCACTTGCTTAGCCATCTTTGATAAGATCAAGAACGTTCTTTCTTTTTCCTTCCACCACTGAAGAACGTCAAAGTCATCCTTTCTTCATACTCAACGGGAAATGTTAGATACAAAGAAAGCTCGTTAATCGAGCTTTGTTCAGTAACCAGAGTTGATTTACTTTTTTGATAAGATTGCTAAATGCAGATTTCAAAATTGATTTTCCTTTAGATGAAGAAGATGTTCGTGGCGGGGGAGGAGGTGCGCTACCATATTGTGCATGAAACTCATTAAATAATTAATATAATAAATTACTAACCTCTTGGAATTCTTGTTTAGGATTTATGGCCTTTTCGTCGTACATAGGCAATGGACCAAAAAAAGAAGCATAATAGTAATCTAAACATTGCCCCAAAGAATCAAGTCTAGAATGAGGATCAAGAATAAATGCAATACCATATATATGCGGAATATGTGAATAATATTTTAAAAACTTTTGTTTCATGTATTCACAAAAATAACTAACGCAAGTGACATCGACAAATTCACAAAAAGCGCCGGCGAGATTAACAGTTTCAACAAAAAATTGGTTTGCGGTAGGTTTATAAACATGACTAAAAGTTTGAGTTGCATTATTAAAAAACACCAAAACATTCACAATTTTTTCACAAGTGTCGATGTCGGCCGGATTTATAATATAATTAGCATATTCTCTTTAAAAAAGCAGGAAAATGGTTTTTAGGAAACGTACAATATTTGACACGTCTTCCTTTCAAATAATTTCTCCATTGCATCTTAAGTTGACTACTAGCCCAAATAAGTTTAATCCCCCCTCCCCTCACCACCTCCATAGCATCTCCCAACGCCGCTAGCTAGGGATGGACCCGGGCCGGTCCGGTTCCGGTTCCGGGCCGGGCCCGGGTGGGCTTTTTTTGCAAAATGTTGGGCCCGGAACCGGCCCGGGTTGATACCGGGTCCAAGCCTAACCGGGCCGGGCCCGGGTCAATGTCTATTTTTTTTTTTTGCTTTCTTGTTATCCCCCGACCCGACCCCCCTCACCCCCACCCCCAAACCTCCCTAAAACACCCAACCCTACCCTAGGAAAAGAAAAAAATTGAAAAAACAAAAAAAAATGACTTGGGCCTGGCCCGAACCGCCCGGGCCGGTTCGCCCAAAACTGGGCCCGAGCCCGGCCCGCCCGACCCGCCCAAACGGGCTAAAAGCCCGGAACCGGCCAAACGTCCTAGTCCGATCCGGGCCCAAACAGTAGCGGTTCTGGGCCGGTTCTGGGCCGGCCCGGCCCAGTCCATCCCTACCGCTAGCCAGTCTTTTACACATAAATTTAAAATATGACATGCACAACGCTGATGAAAAAATCTACCAATCAAAGAAGATGAACCACACAATTCACGGAATATAGGAATAGCAGCAGTATTATTACTAGCATTATCAAAACCAATAGCAAACACCTTATTAATCAAATTATACTCAATTAAAATACGCTCAATGAGAATATAAATATTATCACTGGTGTGTCGATCATTATATTCACGAAAATCAAGAACACGTTTATGCATACACCAATCATCATCAATATAATGTGCAGTCACACCCAAATAATATAAATGATGATGAGTATCCTCTCATATATCACTACATATACTAACACGTCCATCAAAGTTTGTGAAAAACGTTTGTAATTTTTGCTTTTCCAAAACATATTGCCTTATAACTTCTTTTTTAATTGTTTTGCGACTATAGTTTCAAAATTGAGGATTTAAAGTACCTTGAGCATATTCTTTTAAAGAAAGACTTTCGGAAGAAATAAAAGGCAAATTTTCTTCAACAATTAAATGAGACAAACCGGTCAAATGCTTGTTATCATCATAGGAGAAATTACCGAAGGATTGGCCAGTTCCAAACCTTGAAATTTGTGTTTGCTTTCCCTTGTCTTTGTCCGATTTCGCATACGCCGTCGGGTGCTTGGCCTTAAGATGCCTTGTGGCGCTCCCGTACCCTCCAGAAATTCCCAAGTTATACACCTTTTGAGCAATGCTTGCAAGCGGCGTACCATATCTCGATTTTGATGTCTTTGGTCTTTGTAAAATTGGCCTTAAAGACAGATTCAGCCTTTTCACCGTCTTGGGAAGAAGTAGCCTCTTCCGCTTGCTCCTTCACATCGTAAACCTCGTCCACGACCGTTTGCGGATTCCCCTCCTCCGCATCATCATCCTCGAGCTCTTCTTCGTCAATGATCAGGATGCCTTGTTGATGGAAAAAGCGCCCTTGATGTTGTTGCAATAGTTGCTCTACTTGCTCATCGGACATCGCATCCCCATATCTCTGGTTGTAATCCGCATCAAAATCATCTCGGGCTTGAGATGATGACCCGGCCCGTCCCTTACCTTTGCGTGAGCTTGGATGATTCCTCGCAATCTCCTTTCTTCGGTTGCGTTGGAGACTTGGAGGTTACTCATATCTATAGAAGCTCTACCACGTTCCATCTTAAAAATATAACAAATATTAAATTCGAATTACAATTAAACTAGTTAATTTGAAATACAAATCTAACAATACGAAATACAATTAAAAAATGAGAAAATGTAACAATGCAACTAATTAATAAAATTTGAACTATTTTGCAACAAAAAATAAATAACAATTTTATGGCAAAATTTTTATAAATTCGAACTATTTTGTAACAATAAATAAATAAATAAAAATTTAACAAGTTTAACTACTTTTATTATATAATTCGCACAACTTTAATTTAAAAATAACAATTAACTAGTTTAACAATTAAACAATTAACTAGTTTTATAGGAGAATAAGAAATGTAACAATTAACTAGTTTTATAGGAGAATAATAAATGTAACAATTAACTAGTTTTATAGGAGAATAAGAAATGTAACAATTAACTAGTTTAACAATTAAACAAGTAACTACTTTAATAGGAGAATAAACTATGTAACAACTAACAATTAACTAGTTTAACAATTAAACAATTAACTTCGAATTATTGTCTAACAACTTTTTTGGAAGTAAAATGTAACTACTTTCTTTTTAATGTAACTATTTCCAATAAACTAGTAATGTAACAACTAACAATTAACTACTTTTATAGCAATGAACTAATACTAAAATGATAAGTGAAACAATTAACTAGTTTTATATTAATAAAGAATGTATGAGTGTGTAAACTAAATTAATGGGAGTGTGAGTGTATAAGTAATTGGATAAGTAGATAATAGGTGTATAAGTAGATATAATAATTGTTTAAATAATATAAAATATTATGTTTATAGTATATATAATATAAGTATATTAGTAATATTACTATAAGATGAGTAATACACTTATATTTAATACTAATATATATAAGTATATATTAAGTATATGTAATACCTAAATATAAGTAAATAACAATAATATAATAATTAGATATTAACTATGTGTGAAGTAGATAATAAATTTTATAAATATAATATATATGTAGGGATGGACTAAACTAGGCCGGTCCGGCCCAGAACCGGACCGGCCCGTTACTGTTTGGGCCCGGACCGGACCGGGACCGGTTGGCCGGTTTCGGGCTTTTAGCCCGTTTGGGCGGGTCAGGCGGGCCGGGCTCGGGCCCTACTTTTGGTGAACCGGCCCGGGCGGTTCGGGCCGGGCCCAGTTCAATTTTTATTTTTTCAATTTTTTTTGCTTTTCTAGGTTAGGATTGGGTGTTTTTAGGGGGTTTGGGGGTGGGGGTGAAGGGGGGGGGGGGGTCGGGTGTTAATTAGAAACCAAAAAAAAAATTGAACTTGACCCGGGCCCGGCCCGGCCCGGCCCAGCCCGGTTAGGCCTGGACCCGGTATCAACCCGGGCCGGTTCCGGGCCCAACATTTGCAAAAAAAGCCCGCCCGGGCTCGGCCCGGAACCGGAACCGGAACGGCCGGGGTCCATCCCTAAATATATGTAGTTATAAATTTGAGAAGATGAAGATGAAGAAGATTAGTAGAGAATAGAGATTAGAGAGTAGGAATGTAGGATGTGTAGTAAATTGTAGAGAAAAAATGGAGTATTTATAGATTTATTGTACCCCACCCCACCCCCCACCCCACCCCAGCCCGGGACCCCCATTGCCCACCAACCCAACCGGTCCGAGCCCAACGGCTATAAGGCCTGTTTGGCTTGCTGTAATTTTTTTAAAATAAAGCCATTAGGCCCGGACCGGCCGGGCCGGTTCACATAAATATGGGCACGTGCCCGAACCGCCCTACCCGATCGGACCGGTTCAAAGCCCGAACCGCCATTCCGTCACCCGCGCCAGGCCGGTTCAGGGCCGGGCCGAACCGGTTTGGGCCACCCCTAATAGCGGTGAATGAAAAACAACATAAAAGCTTGAATTTCTGAAAAACTCAAAAAGCATTCTTCAAAAACCAAAATCATTACGAAATACAAACATTCAAGTATACTAACAAGTAACATCCCTGCTAAACTTGCCTGCACGGTGAAAATATTGACCAATTCTAATATCACATTTTCAAGAGAGCACATGTGTGCTACACATGCCACTTCTGACTCAAAATTTCATGGTGGGGGAGTTTTCCTAATGGACAGACTTGCGTCATGAACCAATGTTTGCATCCATTGGAACCTTGACGCAAAGCAGCAGCACACTGATTCCTTTCTTGGGTGATGGGAAATAACTGATGTTTAAGATTTTGGTCATTGCTTGAGAACATTTGCACACAGCGCACACTCTGCTCTACAACTTAGGACCAGCAACTACTTACATTCATCTCACTGACTTTCCGCCAAACCCTTGGTGTGCTCACCACCTCTTATAATTCTGTAAGCAAAGAATGCTGCCATTGAACCACTGCACAGGACAAAACGGTTTGATCACTCAGAAGGTACATAGAAATTATGCAGCAACCCTTTCATCAATGGCTTAATAAAGCCTCAGCACAGGAATAATTAGATCAACTACATTCATAGTTCATTTTCAATCTAGACCCCCATATACTCCCTTAGCTCCATATTACGAGCGGAAGTGCCCATATTTCTGCGCTTTTGTGTTCCCTTTTTATTGGTCCATTCACTACAAGAATAATTAGGTCAACTACATTCATAGTTCATCTTCAATCTAGACCGCATATACTCCATCCGATCCTTATTACGTGCGGAAGTGCCCATATTTTGTGCTTTTGTGTTCCCTTTTTATCGGTCCATTTGGAAAATATATGGTATACTATTTACTCCCTATGACCCCCTATCTTTGTCCCACTTTACCTTTTTCGTCCATCCCATTAAGTTTGTCGCATACCACATTTGGTAAAATTTGGGTGATTGCAATTCATTTACGCATTATAATTTAATATTAATCACATAATTTCACTTTTCTTAATAGCCGCACCACTCCATTTCGTCCCAATGTCAGGGGGGGTAGGTAGTGTTATTCTCCAATCCTGCCCATCACATTTAATTAATATACTACCACTACCGCAAGTTGCATTTGGACCTTCTAATTAAAGGGTAGACTACTCAAGAACCCAACTTTTAAGGTCCATGGTCTACGAGTGCTCCATAATGGTGGAAGCAAATAAGGATCATTCATTGGGATCATGAGAAGTCATTTATATACAGTAGCTAATAAAAAATACAGCACAACAATCTAGGAAGTAATAAATAAGGGCATATTAGATACGATAGGATGCGAGTCTTAGATATAGTTGACAATTAATTGAGAACAGAGGGAGCACTACATAATAATAATAATCATACACACAAAAAGATATATACCTGATAAGGAACATAAAAAAGTTTCCAATGCTTGATCTCTGCAAAGCATAAGTAAAATATAAAAGGTAAGTTGTTGAGGAGAATGATAAATGCCCTTAAAAGGATATCACCATTGTAAATTTGTAAGTGATGAAAGAAGGGAGAGAAGCAAAGAAAAACATTACCTGAAGCAGCAATCTGAACTGTCTGAGAAATAAGATGGTAGCAATTCCTGCAAAAGTAATTCACTGTTGAGACAATGCCGCTTTTCCACATGGCATTTATGCTTTATGAAGGTGAAATATACTCCCTCTGCTACCCTATCTTTGTCTAATTTTACCTTTTCGTAAGTCCTACTAAGTTTGTCTCATACCATATTTGGTAATATTTGGGTGATTGCAATTCACTCTCTTTATTCACACTTTACCAATCATCAATATCAACCACACAATTCCACCTTTCTTAATTACTGCATCACTCCATCTTGTCCCAATCTTAGGGGCAGAAGTAGTAATTTTAATGTTTCAACCAAACTCTTCTATCTAAATATTAAAAACATTTGTACAAAACTACAAATTTTAAGTTACTGATAGCATATATGGACTAGGTCTCTCACTGAGTTCAAGTTTGCCAAGTTTCCCACATTGGATGTTTACCAGACCTAAAGAGCTGTTTGGTAAGCAAGTTTGGGGAATGGGAATGAAATGATGGTCTGTGTTCGTTTAGTACTCCACCTTAGGTTTCGCTCCCGACTTTTGCGCTTGAGAGTTGAGACACTCCGAAATGGGAAATATAAAACTCATTCCCTCTTTCTTGTGTACTCATTCTCATTCTCTTTAGTATACCAGCCATATCCTAACTCCTTGTAGTCAGAGTAATGTAATTCTATACCTAGCTTAAGATCTGTCAATAACTTTGTGAATCAAGAAGACATGAACTAAGATTGACACTTCATTTGACCCACATCAATACATATCTATCATCAATAAAGGGAAACTCATTCCTTAATAATTTCACATGTTCACAATTACGCCCATACCTGACTGCCCTTTTAAGGCTAGAGAAGCTGACTCTCCTTTCCTCCATGATCTTAGACTAGAGATGCTAAAAGCCAAAAGGGCCCCACCAAGAATAAGTCCAAACCTAATGGCAGGGATACTACCAGTTAGCATGAATAACATAAAGCCACCAACAGAGAGAAGAGCGCCTGAAAATCACGAGTAATATGAAAAATCATTCACTTTGGAGTATTCCTCCATCTAATGGGACATGTATCCATTACAAGGAAAATATATAAGAGCCAGTATTTTAGAAAATGTATTTTTGAGATAATTAATCACTCATGTGCATACCGTATGGAATTCCAAGGTAAAAGTCTAGCACATTGGATATGTCATTCAATTCGTCAGTTGAGGAAGCAAATGTTTCCATAATGTCCTTTACTGGTTCGGGAGATTTCTCAGCAGCAATGGCTAAATATTCTTTACTTCCCTCGCTGATTTCCTTTGCGGTCACACTTAAATCATGCCTTGCCTTCTCAGCTTGAATCTTCAGTTTCTCAGAAGTCTCTTCCAGAATAACAGCAGCTTTAGTAGAGTACACATCATATGCTTCTTTTGAAATGCTTTTCATCTTTATGGCTTGTTCATTGAACAAATCAAGAGCACGTCTCCATGCTTCTTGTAATTCATCAGCAGCCTTTTCATGATCATCGTTCCTGTACTCCCCTTTGATGTCTGAAATCTGAAATGCAGAAAATAATTTGGAATGTTAATGCACGAAGTGAATGTAATCATGGTTGAGTTAAATATAAGGAAACTTTGGTTCTAAAATGACATCTATTGAATTCTTTCAAAATATGAACTTTTCATCCCATCCTCTATAGCTGGTCCTTGACCCATTGATGACTTTCTATTGCAGGTAATACTGTTATTTCTTTTTCATTACCCATTGTATAGACCAACAAAAAAGGTAGGACTTTCAGATTATTAAGAGTTGAAACTGTTTCGAGAAAGAATGGGAAAGGGTTTTTAACATTAATTGGGAAAGGGAGTATATGGGAACTATATTATCCATTCAACATTTGAACGTTTTGAAATAAAGTTATTGTATTATTTAGTTTGCTTCCCAACACAAATCAGGTAATTAAAACATTAAGAAAGAAGTGCATATGAACATGGACGATACAATGTTATAAACAAATAATAAAAAATACTACATGTTTTTACCGGTTCTTCATGAGCAGCGGCGAATGAGAAAATTGATCTCTTGCAGAGACTCGTTTTGCGCAATGGGGCTACACCAGGGCCTTCAGGATAAATAGACTGACCTAGACCTAAGACCCTGCAGCTTCTGGAATGTGCGAATCGAGGGCGACCGGATTCCAACCCTAGCGTCGCTGGTGTATAAAGGCGAGCGCTGAATGCTTGTCTAAAGCACCGATTCAAGCGGGAGTTAGGGTTCCCGATGGCGAAATGCTCCATCGTCATGCTCATCGTTGAAGAATGAGGAGAGAGGTGCGGAAAGAGGGACGAGAAGCGTGGTTAATGGGCGAAGTCTACAACGGTCAATGAAGTTGAACTGCCGTGCGTTCAGATTGGTTTTTTAAGGTGCGTTTGGAGTATTCCAAGTGCAGAATTACTTGATGTTCTAATTTATTTACTTCTACCATGTGTTTTTTTTTTAAGTTGGGGGAGACCAACTTTGATTCTAATTATGTTTTGAAAAGGAAGCAGAAACACAATCGTTCCAAACATCCTCTTACTTGTCTTCACTCGAGATCCATGTCAAACTAATACGGAGTAAGAGCACCAAAGGTGGTGGAACTGGTATCATATTTCAAATGTTATTGGTACACATACCATGTTTACACATCTAATTGTTTGTTTATACATTTAATTCATTCAGAAGCTACGTAGATAAACAATAATGATGTTGTTGGGATATTGACCTAGAGGCCCAATACCCAGATCGGGAAGGCCCAAGGTATCCGGCCCAAGTAACAGGCCCATCACTTTATGATGAGAAGATCCAGTAAGGAGACATACCGAACGAAGTTCGGCCCAAATAAAGGTTGGCCCAATAAGAAGACATACCGAACGAGGTTCGGACTATATACTATACTTGGGCCAATTTGACAGCATCCTCAGTACGGACCAAGATCCCGTTCGAGCAACGGCCAACCAGCAAGTGGCCAGGTGCAGTTAATGCCAGACTATGACATCAGCAAGTGGAAGCATGGATGACCAAGTCGGTGGAACAACGGTCAATCAACAAGAGGCAGTCCATGCTCTCCATTAGTATAAATAGAAGGTTTTCAAGTCATTGTAAGGGTTAGCATTTCAATACTCAAGCTCTAGAATAGCATCATTTGCTCTTATTTCTTGTATTAAGGCATAGTTTCCGACTTATCGATCGGGAAATCCCTTGTAATCAGATTGGTTAATTAATACAAGTGAGCTTTCGAGTGTTAGTTAGTTCAGATCTTATATTTTCTCGTACACCTTGATTCTGGGCCATTCCTGATATATCCAAAGTTCGTGTTGGGCTTTCGGATCTACGGGACTTACCCTCAACATTGGCGCCGTCTGTGGGAAACTTGCAAAAAGTTTCACTTTCTAAACATCCAAAAAACCTCTATTTCTAAAAATGGTCAGAATCAATTCCTATCATACAAACGACGGTTCACACCGTCACGGGAGGAGTCACACCCCGGGGAGTCAAAACCCCCAGGGACAATCCAGTCGAGGATCCTATCCTCGCGTTAATGGGGATTTTGTGATCCCCGAATCTCTGAGGAGAAATCCCCAGGCCATGCGTGACATGGCCCAATTCATGCAGCACATGGCAAACGAAGAAGAAGGAGGTTCCAGCTTTACAGGAGAAACTCCACGCGCGGAAACGACCACAGCGTCATCCCGCTCACATACCCATCGGGATAATCGACGTAGCGCCCCACCAGCAGCGCATCCCAGTCCCAGTGACCGAACCCCGGTCGGGTCGCAAGCTAGAGGACCAACTCCCGTCGGTCATCATTTCCAATATGCCGAGCGGGAAAATACTAGGGCCCCTCAGCGACATTGGGACCGGGACTGTGCGGATATGAGGGTTCCACCACCGCCCCCTCTGACGGCCCAGGAGGAAGAGATGGCCGAGATGAGGAGGCAAATGAATGAAATGCGGGACCAGATGAACAGGTACCTGCACAACCTGCACCAGTCCAACTGTGGATTACTTCCCCGTTTACAAGGGAGCTCATGTACGCGGATATCCAAGGGGGTGCCAAGCCCCCGACCGGCCAAATATATGATGGGGTGGGAGATCCCCACGTACATCTGAGGAGTTACCAAGGCGGACTTATGCTGCTAGGAGCACCCGAGGCTGCCATTTGCCGTTTGTTTTTCAGCACGCTCAGGGGGCCTGCCCAGGAATGGTTCGGGACACTACAGCTCGGGTCAATCAATAGCTTTACCGAGTTATCAACGTTATTCTTGGCTCAATTTGCTTCCAGTGCCAATCCCAAACGGCACTTCAGCTATCTGACCAGCGTGAAGCAAAACGCCAAGGAGACCCTCAACCAATTCCTGAAAAGGTGGAGGGATGAAACTTTAACAGTGGGAAACATGACGGATGATACCGCCATCACCCTGTTCACGAATGCTCTCCGAACGGGGGAGTTGTACAAATAATTGAAGAAGAATCCGGGCACGGCGTACGCCGAAGTATTAGATAGGGCGCGCAAGCATGCCGCCCTAGAAGAAGAAATAATGATCAGGGATAAGGTCATTACGCCTGCTGCCCCGATCAGACTGGCTGATCGGCTGGGTCCTAGCCCAGCGGCCACTTTACCTCCCAAACAAGGGAGATTTACACCCCTGGTCCTATCAATAGCGGCCATCTATCAGAACGAGAGGGACAATATTCTCATCCCGACTGATTCTGGACAGTTCATGGGAACGGATGACAATGCTTTCTGTAAATATCACAACAGAAAGGGTCATGCCACCAATGCCTGCAGGGCCCTGCAAACAGCAATTGAGGATCTGATCCGAAGGGGCCATCTGGGCAAATATGTGAACAAAGATCTGAATGCAATGGGCACGTTAAAACCGGCCAGGAAACCTAACAGCTGGCGCCGGGATGCTCAACGTGACGCCCAGCCTCAGAATGATGTGTATGTTCCTCCCAGAGATGAGCCAGAGGGCTCGGGAGGCCCCGGAAAGAAGCCTCGAATGGAGGTCAAGGTCATATTTGGGGGCGGAGAGACCGGGGATTCGAACGCCGAACGGAAAAGGTTCGAGCGGAGTCTTTATGTGGGGTCCGTCTCCGCTCCCCCCCAGAAGAAAGGAAGGACAGACCCGATCACGTTCGGGCCAGCTGATCTACCCAACTCTCCAAGCCCCCACAGGGATGAACTGGTGGTAAGCATGTGTATTGACAATGCTTTAATCCGCCGAGTGCTGGTCGATACTGGGAGCATTGTGAATGTATTGTATCTACAATCATTCGAGAAAATGGGTCTGCAAAGGAGCAACCTGACCCACCTGCGGACTCCACTGGCGAGTTTTACCGGTAACTGCATCGAGACGGAAGGGACCATCCAATTGATGGTTGAAATTGGAGATGAAACCCACAGAGCGTCACTCCGAATGACGTTCGTGGTGGTAGATATAAAGTGCGCCCATAATGCCATTTTGGGCCGACCGGGATTGGAAGATCTGGAGGCAATAGCCTCTGTCCACCACTCATGCATCAAATTCCCCACAGACACTGGGGTAGGGGTGGCCAGAACTGACCCAACAACAGCCCGAACATGTTATCGGGAGGCCCTGAAACAGATGAACACTCGTGGGATGCGGGTGAATACAATTGAGGTGGAAACCCACCGAACGGAGTTCGAGGCACACCCGGAGCCCGCCACCCTTCTTGAACAAATCGACCTCAACTTTCCCCCGAACCGTAAGGTCGCTATCGGGGTAGATCTGGAGGCAGATATCCGGGATGGCGTGATTGCCGTCCTCAAAAAGTTTCAGGTGCTATTTGCCCGGGGGCCAGAAGATATGCCCGGCATTGATCCAGAAATAATATGCCACAAACTTGCCGTTCGGTCTGATGCAAAACCGGTCCAACAGAAGAAACGGTATCAAGCGACCGAACGGCGAGAATTCACCAAGAAGGAAGTGGCCACTTTGCTAAGGATAAAGCATATCCGTCCGGTAATCCACGTAGAATGGCTATCCAATGTGGTTCTAGCCCCAAAACAATCTACCTGGAGAATGTGCGTGGATTACTCCGATCTCAATAAAGCATGCCCCATGGATCCCTACCCAGTGCCGAGGATCGATCTGCTAGTGGATGAGACTGCTAGGTGCGAGTTACTGAGCTTCATGGATGCTTTCCGGGGTTATCATCAGATATTCATGCACCCGGCCGATGCAGAGAAAACGGCGTTTGTTACTTCGGATGGCGTGTTCTGCTACATCGTCATGCCATTCGGATTAAAGAACGCGATGGCAACCTTCCAGAGGATGATCAGGATGCTGTTTAAAGATGTACTGGGTGTCACAATGGAAGCCTACGTTGATGACATCCTGATCAAGAGCAAAAAGAAGGAAAACCATATCCTGGACATAGAAAAGGTGTTCGGGATAATGCAAAGGGCGAATATGAGACTCAATCCCAAGAAATGCGCGTTTGCTGTAAGAGGAGGCAAATTTTTGGGGTACATGATGAGCGAGAAGGGGATTGAGCCCAATCCAGAAAAAGTAAAGGCCATTGTGGACATGGAGCCCCCGAGGAATCTCAAGGAAGTACAGAGATTGACCGGTCGGCTAGCAGCCCTGAGCAGATTCCTATCAAAACTGGCCGATCGAGCTATCCCGTTTTTCCAAATCATGAAGAAAGCCAACCCTTTCGAGTGGACGGCCGAATGCCAAACGGCCTTTGAGGATTTCAAGACATATCTGTCTTCCCCCCTGGTCTTGACAAAGCCCGAACCAGGGGAACATCTGTATATGTACCTGGCTGTAGCCGACTTGGCCGTAAGCACGGTTCTGCTGAAAGAAGAAGATGGCGTTCAACGGCCAATCTATTTTGTGAGCAAGGCGTTGAACGGCCCGGAAACCAGGTACACCTTGCTAGAAAAGAATATACTGGCCCTGATAGCTGCCATTAAACGCCTGGCCCCGTATTTCCAAACCCACCCGGTAACTGTATATACTACCCAGCCATTAGCCACCATCTTGAGAAATCTTATGGCAAGTGGGCGCATTACCAAGTGGAGTCTCCTGATCGGGCAGTAC